TTTAGGGATCTTACTATTATGGAGACATATATTAAATAGCTCTGTTAGTACAGGGATTGTTAATATCTTACTTGTTTTCAAGAGCTCGGCAATTATATCGTCATGTTCTGGAGGAAAGAAAGGAAAGAGATGGATTGGTCGAAAGAAACTTTCATGGCTGCGTAATATTAGGCAATGGTGTGGTTTCACAGTAGAAGAATTATTTCGCGCAGCAGCCGACAGAGAAAGGTTTCAGGAAATTGTAAACATGTCGAAAGAAAATGCAAAAAAGTATTTTTGAAGTGTGTATATTTTAGGCAATTCCTAGCTGAGCGCTTTCGGCTTTACAAAGCCATCATCAGAGCTATGCTACAATAAAATGTTCTAATAAGTACTAATTGGTAAAGATTGTAATTTTTAACTTACGTCAATTTTTAAATACCACTACAAAGGAGAGATCTCATTTCCTTAAGTTTCACAATTATGATTTTGTAGGAGTTGGAATTTTTAAAACATATAAAAAACATATAAAAGGTCGACACTGGACGTCACAAACACGTTAAAAAATTGAAAAATTTTTTGTCATGGTACGGGTTTAAGACCCGACCATCTATTGATGTGAGGATGTAGACTGAATAGAACTAGTGAAATCAAATGTCGGTCCTTTTAAACGATTTTTCAAAAGTGACAGGTGACAAATGTCATATATAGGAAATAGAGATTGTTTTTTAAATTCTTACAAAATTATTTAGTAGTTTGGAATTACTACTAGTCATCAAAGACTTTCTAAAAATTAAGTTTTTAAAATTAAATTTTATGTGTTCATCACATCATACAGAATGACATTAATTTGTAAATTCACTCAAGTCATTGCTCAAGGTCAATGTATGTTCAATCTGACAGCTATCCTTAAGGAACAAGGGCTCAAATTGTTCAACAACACTATAAAGAAGAAACCTGGTATTAATGTTATGTTATCTGATACTTAAGTGTATTAAGAATTGTATGTCTTGATGGAAAATTGTAAGAACTTTGCATAAAAAATTTTTTTAAGAATGTATTTTCATGTTTCAATTAAGAACAACTGTCAAATGAATTACAAAATGTTGTAAATTTTAATAAAGTTTAAAATTTGTTTAAAAAATAAAAGTATGAAAAATATATAACAAGATTGCATGAGGTCACCCTTCTTCCTCTAAAGTCTCCCATAATAATTTAAAAAGAGGTTTATAGTTGCAATTGAGGTTGATTTGTGTGTTTAAGCAACAATCAGGGTTTATTTTCATTTCTTTGGATATCTCTAGATCTTCCAAGAGATTCATGAGTCTAAAGTTTTTATTAGGAATGTTGTGTAAAATTTTACTGTTTTCAGAAGGAGAAAAAGAATGATTATTAAATTTAATGTGATATCCAAAGTTTGATTTTTCTGGGTTATTGAGGTGTTCTTTGATTCTTTGATTCAGAGTTCTCATTGTTCTACCTACATAAGTCATATTACAATCACCACAGGACAGCTTGTAAATACCACTTCTGTTTAGTTTGTCAACTTTGTCTTTGGTCTTGCTGAAGATGGACTTGATGTTATATTTGGTTTTAAAGGAGATGTTTAAGTCATTAATTTTATTAACAAGTACTCTTGAAATTTTTTCTGAAATTGGTCCTAAGTAAGTTAAGGATCTATATATGGATCCTTAACCTTATATCCTTAACTTACTTAGGACCAATTTCAGAAAAAATTTCAAGAGTACTTGTTAATAAAATTAATGACTTAAACATCTCCTTTAAAACCAAATATAACATCAAGTCCATCTTCAGCAAGACCAAAGACAAAGTTGACAAACTAAACAGAAGTGGTATTTACAAGCTGTCCTGTGGTGATTGTAATATGACTTATGTAGGTAGAACAATGAGAACTCTGAATCAAAGAATCAAAGAACACCTCAATAACCCAGAAAAATCAAACTTTGGATATCACATTAAATTTAATAATCATTCTTTTTCTCCTTCTGAAAACAGTAAAATTTTACACAACATTCCTAATAAAAACTTTAGACTCATGAATCTCTTGGAAGATCTAGAGATATCCAAAGAAATGAAAATAAACCCTGATTGTTGCTTAAACACACAAATCAACCTCAATTGCAACTATAAACCTCTTTTTAAATTATTATGGGAGACTTTAGAGGAAGAAGGGTGACCTCATGCAATCTTGTTATATATTTTTCATACTTTTATTTTTTAAACAAATTTTAAACTTTATTAAAATTTACAACATTTTGTAATTCATTTGACAGTTGTTCTTAATTGAAACATGAAAATACATTCTTAAAAAATTTTTTATGCAAAGTTCTTACAATTTTCCATCAAGACATACAATTCTTAATACACTTAAGTATCAGATAACATAACATTAATACCAGGTTTCTTCTTTATAGTGTTGTTGAACAATTTGAGCCCTTGTTCCTTAAGGATAGCTGTCAGATTGAACATACATTGACCTTGAGCAATGACTTGAGTGAATTTACAAATTAATGTCATTCTGTATGATGTGATGAACACATAAAATTTAATTTTAAAAACTTAATTTTTAGAAAGTCTTTGATGACTAGTAGTAATTCCAAACTACTAAATAATTTTGTAAGAATTTAAAAAACAATCTCTATTTCCTATATATGACATTTGTCACCTGTCACTTTTGAAAAATCGTTTAAAAGGACCGACATTTGATTTCACTAGTTCTATTCAGTCTACATCCTCACATCAATAGATGGTCGGGTCTTAAACCCGTACCATGACAAAAAAATTTTTCAATTTTTTAACGTGTTTGTGACGTCCAGTGTCGACCTTTTATATGTTTTTTATATGTTTTAAAAATTCCAACTCCTACAAAATCATAATTGTGAAACTTAAGGAAATGAGATCTCTCCTTTGTAGTGGTATTTAAAAATTGACGTAAGTTAAAAATTACAATCTTTACCAATTAGTACTTATTAGAACATTTTATTGTAGCATAGCTCTGATGATGGCTTTGTAAAGCCGAAAGCGCTCAGCTAGGAATTGCCTAAAATATACACACTTCAAAAATACTTTTTTGCATTTTCTTTCGACTTGTCATAAGTGTGTACAAAAAATATCAGTCTTTTGATTGTTAATTGTAAACATGATGACGGCCAACGTCTGAATACGGACACGGCACCCAAAGAAGAAGAAGTTCTGGAGCTTTATTATTTTTTAGCTCTTTTAAAGCTTTTTCTATTTCAAATCCCTTTATATTTGGTAGTACTTCTGATCCCACGTTTTTTCTTTTTCTTTTGACGTTCTCATTTGTTCTTTCATTAGGCTGGCTTTGCGACTGTACAAGAATGTGTAGAAGTCTTCGACAATATTTGTTATTTTGGTTAAAATCCTTTATAAAAGGTATATAAAAATGCCCCAAACGGGCTATCACAAACACATTGCAAAACGTTTTCGGATTAAACAATCCATCATCAGTGCAAACGGTTGTACATGCTAGTAGCCACTAAAATATATGGGTAAAAACCCTTTAAATGTTTAAAATTTGAAGTTGTTTTACATTATTAGTATTTATAATTTGTGATGGTTAAGTTACCGTTGGATAGGTAACATGGCGGCGTATGACTCTACATGAATAAAATGGTCCTGAGACGAAGTGTCTACGAGGACCTGTTGATAACAACTTTTACGAGGACGAGTTACCGCCATGTTACCTATCCAACGGTAACTTAACCATCACAAATTATAAATACTAATAATATAAAACAACTTCAAATTTTAAACATTTAAAGGGTTTCTACCCATATATTTTGGTGGCTACTAATAATGTAAAACAACTTCAAATTTTAAACATTTAAAGGGTTTTTACCCATATATTTTGGTGGCTACTAGCATGTACAACCGTTTGCACTGATGATGGATTGTTTAATCCGAAAACGTTTTGCAATGTGTTTGTGATAGCCCGTTTGGGGCATTTTTAAATACCTTTTATAAAGGATTTTAACCAAAATTTTTTTGTGATATATGGTAACAGCCAGCTACAGGAACTTAGTTTCCTCGTGGAATTTGTTATTTTATATTTGTCTTTCTCCTCCTTATTGTTGGCGTCTTTAATTTTGATGATTTTCTGAACTCCCAGTGCGGGTCTTAGACTTTTTAAGCCTCTGTTGTTTTCAATGACTCGCTCTATTAAGTTCTCGTTCCATTTTTGTATGTCGCGTTTTAGTTCTTTTCTAATTGTTTCATTAAGTTCTCTGTATTCTTGGGTATAGCGTTTGTTTTCCGCTAGTAGTTGTCTTCTTTTCGTCATTAGTTAATTAGTTGCATTTCTTATTTTGTTTTCTTTAGTCCTTGTTTTTTTTTGTGTTTGCTAGTGTAGACTAAATTGTCACATTTTATCTAAAAAATTTTGTCTTGTGTATTAAAGAATAAAAATCATATGAATTAAACTTCAAATTACTTTGATCCACCGAAGTTTTACAAAACCTAATTTAACTGATCTAAACATTCTAAAATTAACCAAACACGAACAAAATTCTTATAAAATTTCCCAATTTTTCCTAAAAAACGCTTGACATTATTTATTTAGAAGTAAATTATATCTGGTCCACCGCATTAAATAACTATAACGAGCAGATAACAATCATTACCATATATGTAACAATCTTATAAATATTCAGTTACATTTCCATTTCATTACGTAAGAATAACACACAAGGAAGAATATTTTTGATACAATTCTATTCTAGTATTGTTTCCCAGAAGCAAGGAAATTATTTTATTTAATTGCGTACAATTCTTACAAATTAAGCTGAAGATACTGGGATTATACCGGACAAACAAGGAGACTCTACATAAAACGTGTGTTGGAGCACAAATAATTATTTTTGAACATAAAAAACAATTTAAAAAATTACGAATCATTCAGTAATAATTTTGATAGTCTACACATAAACACAATAATCTTAAAATAATTTTTTTAACGGAAAACAATAAAATTACACAACTTGAATAAAATCATTCTTCTCTCCTAAATGAAAACCAGTCTAAAATCTTGGAATGTACATCTACTGAAATACTTACACAAAATGTCAACTAAAGAAAAAAGGCCAAAATATCTCTAAATCATAAAAATGTATAATAAAACAGCAGTGATATAAAATATTAACATCAAAATAAGTTTATTGCTTTTATTCTAGTACAGATTCAAGTCTTGAAGGTTCTTCTGGTTCGGGTTCTGGTTGAACATTTCCTGGGGCGTTCCAGTCTTGAATAGAACCGCTGCCCATCATCATAAAGTAGCCTCCTGTGAATAAAAGGACTACCGATGAAGTACCGAAGATCAGTCGCCACCATCCTGCAAACTGGGAGTAAAAATGCATGTTTTTAGAAATGAAGACCACAAAGCTGTAAAAAACTTTACAGTCAAATAATTGTTGGCAGTTGATGCCTATTATTTGTATACAAAAGTTTTAACAAATTTATACAGATATTGCCTAATCAGATTTTTACAATTAGAGAGTATACTTACCGATCCATGAAGTCCTTCAAAAACTACGTAGTTTGCAGCTAGTAGACCTGCAGCTCCGACAGTTTGGCAAAGACCAAACACAGTTCCTTTAAAATATAAATCACGGATTATTTGGATTATAAGGTTTTTTCAAAAATGAAAAACGTTTCTCGGACTAGTTTGGGTGTTTGAGTTTGTATTTTACTAAATTTCTAGATACAAATATGAAAAATCAAGATAGAGAAATAAAAAAATTCGATAACTTAACCTTACCTGCAAAATTCGGAGCAATGTCTGCTGCACTAGAATATACTCCAGCCGGAGTAGCTCCAGTCATTACCAACGCAGCTATATACAGTGCTGCAGGTGCTAGTGGATCACAGCCAGTGTATCCCAGAACGAACATCAATGCAGCTGGTGGAAAATGAGCTACAACACAAACTATGAATAAACTGCTATATAGTGTATATGAAACTTACATAGATAGACGAAAAATTTTCTGGCGGTCGTTGTAGAGATCAAGCCTGATCCTCGAACGTGGTCTACGACGATTCCAAAACCAATTGCAGCAACGAAGTGACCGATGTGTGGCATATATTGAAGAACATCTTCCTTAGAAAGAATATATGAAACAACAAAAAATTAAAAACTAATAATGGAGATACAAAAGATTGGAAAGGATAGTATGCCTTTATGTCATTATAACTATTATTCTTACTTTAATTTCTATGGGCTTAATTTTTACTAATAAAGCTTCTCTAGATGATTTTAACGAAGCTCATGTCTTGGCGCACTACTTCCACAGCCAACTTAAGCTAACTTTAGCTTTAGGTGACTGTGTTACTACCCATGCGTCATACCTGATCTTTTAATATTGAATCATAATAAAATCAGCTATGGCGCTATGAAAGTTGTCTGTTGCCATAGCACCGTTAGTTTTATTGCTTTTTATGCATTCAGCTGTAACTATAATGCTTAAAAATGCATTACTGTATGCATTACTTACGTATCCAATGGAAAACCCATAAACAAGTTTAAGGTATTTAGTGACACCTAGCATAAGAGTAGCATCAGCCCACTGGCTGCCAATTACTGCTATACCGCAACACCAAGCTGGTTTTGAAGCCAACAGTCTTCTCCAAGGTAAATTCTTGTGTTCCTAGAAAATAGTACAAAACAAATAAAAACTATGTTGGCCTTGAAATGTTCAAAATTGCCTTTAATTAGTAATTTATATACATACATCTCTTTTTGGTCTATTTGGCTGTAATGATTCCTCCACAAACCTCCACCAAAGAAAATACCATAAAAACGTCGTCGAAGCTATAAGATAGCTTAACCAATCTCGTCCCATCTGCTTCACCAGAAGAGTCCCAAGTATGCCCACTATCGCATAACCCAGATTTACAGCTACAAAAGATTAAGTTTGTACGTTAGGGAAACGTTTTTACAATAGTTTTGGAAGCAGGAGTGTATTAAAATGGTTACTATAAATATTGATTATATGAATATGACAATATGAAATGATTATAGATTTTCAGTAAGTACCTGTATATAGTGACACAAATCCACTTAGATGTTTTGGTTTGATCCAAGTCACAGCTAACATATGGGCAGCAGGCCACGTAGCACCCTAAAGATCAATAGATTTAGATCATTTAGCATCACAAAGTTTTTAAACTTACCATAAAAACACCTTGAATTAGTCTTATGAAAACGTGGTAACCAGTTAGCCATGAAGCAGGTACCATAATAGCTGGTACTCCTGCCCCCAAAACCCCTGCACCGAATAGTCTTTCCGCTCCTACTCTAGCAGCTACTCTGCTTGCTGCAAGAGGTGACATGAGAGTGCCCCACATGAAGGCTTCTCTGAGGATCGATTCAGTTCTGTCTGTGCGTGTCATTGGAATCTGAAAACTGTAAGCTAATAAGGTATGAAGTTGAAAAAGGACAGCTGAACCTTTTTACGTTTTTCGATTAAGCAAAATACTACATATTACTTAACACAAATTAATACTCAAATACCAAAATTGGCATGTCATTCGTATCAGTCTTTTCTGAGTCATTCAGGAAATTATATAGTAATATAATATTTTGATGTAAAAAAATAATAAAACAGTTATTTTTACTCCGTAATGCATTCTCGTAGTAAAGAACAAAATGATATGAAAATTTTTAAAAAATAGTTACCTCAATGTGCGGTATGGACCTCACCACGTGCACATTTTTGTCTTTCTGAGAAGGCGGTTGGCAGTACCGAGTAATGTAACTTGTGTTTTCGACATATTCAGCAAATTCTGCTGCTGAGTAACTAGAAGTACTATTTGCTCTAAGAGCTACAGATGCGCTTTGTTCCACGACACCACAAAGCACGAAGCCAGTAAAAACGAAGACAGCGAGCACTTGCCTATTACCAATTTGTTCTAAAACAATATTATTATTATTACTAATAACTGCTTTAACTTATTTTAATTAGTTTACATAATAAATAAGTATTTGAAAATACAGTTAATAATAAATATTTATGTACAAAGGCATTAAGTAGATGTTTATGCCTTAGAGCTACTATTTTACAAACACAAGGGCCTCTGGTCCGAGTTACCCGAGGGTATACACATCTATTAATGCCCACGGTGTATACAAACTATATTAGTTTATTATCGTATTCACAATCAAAATATTATTTTTTAAAATTCAGAAAATTTATAATAATAGAGTAGACCAGGGCTTCCTAAACTGTGCGTCGCGACGCCCTAGGGCGTCGCTGCGTTGTCCCAGGGGCGTCGCGTGTCAGCGCGGACTTTTAATACAGAAAATATATTTATTTGATTTTAAATGAGTATACAATATATGTATTAATAAATAAATCATATAATAAATCAATAGACTCGATAGACCCTTGAATTATCCGAAATTATTCAAAAAGTTGTTTAATCCGAAAATGGTCCACGAAATTATCCGAAAATCGGATAATTATCCAGACATTGGCAACACTGGAGTCGAGTGAGTGCCGGGCGCATTCTGTTTCGCCGGTCGGCTCCTCTCCCCGTGTTCCTTACTGCCGCGCTTCTTATGTCATTTAGTCAAGCTTTTGTTTTGTTTTGTATCTTCTTTTTCTCAGCCTTCTATCATCTATGTTTGGACATAGGCCTCTCCCAACTCCTTCCATCGGTCTCTATCCTGAGCAACATATTTCCAATTTGTTCCGGCTATTCTTTTAATGTCATCAACCCATCTCATCTGTGGTCCGTGTTTTGTATATTCAAAAGAATAGAAAACGAACTGAAGAATCAGGCAAGCGCAGTAATGTTAAGTAAAAAGAGAAAGTATAGGAAATATGACGACCAATATTTGGATTTTGGATTTACCTGCGTTACTAAAGGGAATGTAGAACTTCCACAATGTGTTGTTTGTCACAAAGTGTTGGCGGCTGAAAGTATGCTTCCTAATAAACTAAAACGGTATTTGGAATCAACTCACAGTTATTTACAAGGTAAGAGACTTTTTTGTAATAAAATTGCAAGGGCTAAAACATCAGACCACCTCTTTGGTTTCGAGAGCACCCATTCCTACCAAGGCATTGCTCGCCTCTTATACGGTAGCTGACTCTGTTGCCAAATGTAAAAAACCACATACGATCTTACCTGCAGCGATTGGTATGGATGAATCGCAGCTAAAGAAATAAAAATGTACCGAGCGATGTCTGGACAGTATGGAGGAGTATAAGCTCTTATAAAACCAAGGCTCCAAGTGTAAAATGGACACATAGTGTCATACGTAGAGAGGCCTTAGCAGCAAAGAACTTTACACCTGAATTAAGTGTTGCGATGGATAGCGTTATTAAAGTGGTGAACTACATTAAAACACGACCCGTGAAATCAAGACTTTTCCATAAACTTTTTGAAGAAATGACGGCCGAGCACACCTCTTTAATTTATTATTGCAATTCTCGTTGGCTGTCCAAAGGCAACGTACTCGCACGTGTATACGAATTAAGAAATGAATTTTACACGTATCTACATACAGAATCACATGATGATTAGCAAAACTTTATTAATTCAGAGTTTACAATAAAATTAGCATAACTCTGTGACATATTTAACAAATTAAATGATTTGAATAAGTCTTTGCAGGGAAACAATACTCATATCCTTCAATTGGTAGATAAAATTACTGTGTTTCAGAAGAAGTTGCTCTTATGGAAGAGAAAATTAGAAGATTAAGAAATTGACTGTTTTCATACTTTACAAGGTATTCTACAATAAAAATCGATAGAAATCCTTGATCTCTCTTTAAAAAATATGTTTACACAACACATGCTATCATTGAGCGAACACTTTGAGAAATATTTTCCCGAAGATATGGAGCAATATGACTGGCTCAGAAACCCTTTCCTGTCATTCACGCCATCGACACTTTCAACAGAGGAAGAAGACAGACAGACAGACTGACAGAATTGTCCTGTGATTCCAGCCTAAAGCTTCAATACAAGGACAAACTGTTTGAATTTTGGAGCTCACTTTCTCATAAATATCAATCCGCACTGCTGCATTAAAGGTTTTAAAAGTACAGATCAAACATAAACTTGAAAAAGAAATGAGAGTGGCAATTTCCAAACTGGTCCCCGGTTTCACAAGCTGTGCTCAAAAAAGCAAGCACATCCCTCACATTAATCAGCCAGCCAGTTACATAAATAAATATCTTTTTTCATTTTTGTGCCTATGTTTTGATTTCGTTCTTAATTTTTAATATAAAATATAAATGTTCAAATAGTGTTTTTATTATAACTATAACCTGTTACTAGGCTAGTACTAAAATTGGTAAGTATTATTGGAGGTTGGGTTGAGGGGGCGTCGCAAAAAAAATAGCAAAGTCCCAAGGGCGTCACAGTACAAATAAGTTTGGGAAGCCCTGGAGTAGACAATATTGTCGTTAGGGTAATGATATGTCACACATAAATAGAAAGGAAAAATGCAGAAAATTTTTGAAGTTCCCGATGAAATCGACAGTGCTTCACGACAGGGAATACGACAAATTACTAAACTGGATGGCAGAAAATTGGGTAGGACCGTTGATTGAATAACCCAAGTTTGGTTTATTCAATCAACGGTAGGACACATCAATGACGCTGCTTAGCGACTTCGGTGATCTCGCTAAAACGTTTTCTCCGAATTCCTTATGATCCAAAAATTCAATGGTAAAGAAGACTTTAATGGTAAATAAGAATATTAACATTGCTAAGTAGCATAAAGTAAGCGAATATTTGAAACGAAGGTCAAAAAAATACCAGCCAAAAACGTCTAAAGTGCTGTCTACAGAAGATGTTTTAAAATTTTTTAGACACTGATGATGGAATATGGATTCCGAAAACGTTTTGTCTTAACTTAGCCCGTTTGGGTTCTTAAATATATACCTTTTACAAAGGATTTTTAATAAATTTTTTTAATATATGGTATACAGCCAACTACAGGAACGTAGATTCCTTGTGGATTTTTAAAATTTATCCATGAAGCTCCGAATGAGACGTTTTTAACGAACAAAGTTGCGTTATTATTTGATGTATTTGGTGGATATCGATGGCAAGAACTGGTGAATATGCTAATTACTCACGTAGAAGATAATCAGTTTTTATTGTAAACGTACCAGAGATAAAAACCAACAAAGGCGCGTTTTTACCATTATTGACGAAAACCAAATGAATAGTTTGAAGCTAATAAGAGATTACATGTCTTTATAGTATGAGTATATGTATGTATATTATATTATATATTACGGTATACCGCAAGGTTACCATGCAGATCGAGACATGCGTCTCGACTTTTCGAGTCACGCTAAATATAATTTCGGGCCCGTGCAAGATTCTATTATATTTAAGTGACTTCAGATCAAGCAGACATGTTCAAAATAAAAATTTAGTTAGTAGTGGTTTCTTATAGAATTGTTCCTGTTCTTTTCAACGGTGATAATAGTTTCATTCCAACACGGACGCAAATACGTTATTTTTAACTTCACAGTTGAAGGTCTGTTTCAAAAACGGACTCCTGCTATGAAGGTTTATTTCAAAAACGGACATCTCCCCAACAGCCAATGAGAATGCTGTATTGTGATCACATGACTGAGAAATCAACAATGGCCGCCATTGCTTTTAACTTATCTGATGTTAATTAATTTATTTGTGTTTATCACTAGTTTAAACTGTTTTTTTTTACATATTATTGGTTTAATGGAAAAATGCAAAACAAATATCCAGAAACGACAAAGGTAAGTCTAATCATTGAACTCAATCATGTACTTAACATTTGATTGCTGTAACAAATTGTCAATAGGTGGGTGGAAGTTTGATATGTTAGAAGTTACTGTATATGTTCATCCGAGTTATGAATAGTTTTTAAGTGATATGATAATGTCTGATTTTAAAATATGAAGCTTGAAAGTTGGCTGTAAAAACATGACCAGCTTAGTACCACTTGCTAAAGTTTTTCATAAAATTGAGAGATTCCTAATAAAAATTCTGACTATTGACTTGAATGAATAGACTATTCATTGAATTAACTAAAGTTTAATTAATTCCTCCTTTTGTATGTTCATGCAGGTACTCAGCCAAAGGTCTTCCTCTGTACCCACCTGTCATCACCGAGTTGGATACCAGTGCCAGCTTTTAACAATGCATGATGTCATGGAGTTCCACAAAGCCTTTTACTCCATCCCAGAAAAAAGCAAGCAAGATGCGTTCATTTTGAAATACTGTCGGGCTGGCCCACCCAACCCCAAAAGAAAGAAGCTTGAGCCTATAAAGGAGAAAACCATAATCTTCCAATATTCGGTTGTAAAACCAAGCCTATTACTAAGCATAGAATTAAAAGGGTGTTCCAAAAATTCAAGAATGGTGTATCTCATGTCCCAGTGGAAATCCGAGGCGGAAACCACAAGGAAGTTAAGTTTGCTCCGAAAAGAGATGAAGTAAAAAAAGTTTAGTACAAAAATCCCAATACTGTCTCAATTTATACCTGGACGGAAGACGAAGCAAAAAAATCATCCAACGAGGTTGCTTCCATTGTATTCAATGAGTTGAGATCAGCTGATCTCTCAGGATATGACTCCATTCGTTTGGTGTCTGATGGTTGCGCTGGACAAAATAAGAATATAAAATATTTTAACTATGTGCTGCAAGTTTCTGGATAGCTGTGCTCCAACAAGCATACGAAAAATTGAAACAGTCTTTCCTGTAACAGGGCACTCATTCCTTCCTGCCGACAGAGTATTTGGGATGATAGAGAAAACATTTAAAAAATCAACACAATTGTGACAAAAGAAGAATATCATGAAATTTTTAAGAAATATGGTACGATTAAGTTGATTGGAAGGGATTGGGTACCGTTGGACTGGAAACAAGAAGCGAAAAGTTTTATGAAAACAGCGGCTCAACTTCATTTCAAAATTTCCACCTGCCGACGAATAGTTCTTCGGAAAACTAAATTGGGAAACATCGTTGTGAAAGGAGAGATGGCTTACAACCTTGACACTGGTGCAGAGAGGAAAATTTGTAAGACCAACTGCACTATTGGACAGATCAACCCAAAAGAAATTCGTATTGGTGTGACCCTAAAAGCAGAAAAGGTTAAGGACGTAGCAAAATTGCTTGAAAAACATTTTGCAGTAAATTGGAGGGAGAATGGTACTTTGGCAGTGGTACAAAAACATAATGCAAGCAGAACCTGAAATATCGGCTGAAGGTGTTGGTTCATGTGAGTGTGAAAATAATAATGCTGATTTTGATGGTGATCTTGTATTAATTTCAATTTGAATGTTACTAAAGTTTAAATATTTTATAAGTTCGATATTTTACTTTATATATTTTTAGTTAAATTGCTTTGTAGGTAGGTACTAATGCAACTTGAATAAAAGGTTTTAAATTTTTTATTTTTATTTAATTTTTATTTAAAATACCTGATTTCCTATACTTTCCGAAAGTTAAAAGCACTGTACAAAGAAAACAAAGTAGCTATTAAATGTGGAAATAAAGCCTACAATCCATTTAAGACGACAAAAGGACTTCTACAAGGCTGTGCTACGTCCCCTACTCTGTTTAAAATATTCTTGGAAAAGACACTCAAACCATGGAGGAGAAAGTGCGAAGGAATGGGCATACCAGTAAGAGACGAATACCTATACACCTTAAGTTTTGCCGACGATCAAGTAGTCATCGCACAAGATGAAGAAGATCTCAGCTTTATGCTCAGAAAACTAGAAGAAGAATATAAAAACAACGGAATGGAAATAAACTTAGAGAAAACCGAATACCTAACAACAGAAAACAAGGATATGAGAAACCTAGAGATAGACGAGGGAAGACAAGTAAATGGAACAGATAAATTCAAGTATTTAGGAACCATAATATCGAACCAGGGAACAACAGAAGAAGATATAAACAACAGACTAAGACAAACAAGAAACTGTATAAGACAACTAAATTCAGTGCTGTGGGATAAGAACATTACGATAAAGACAAAAAAGAGAATATATAATACCCTGACAAGAAGTATCCTGACATATGGGTCCGAAAACTGGACAATAAACAAGAGAAATAGAGGTAGAATAAGAGCAGTAGAAATGGAGTTCCTGAGGAGAAGCTGTAGACTTACAAAAAGAGACAGAATTGAAAACGCAGAGATTAAGCGGAGAATGGGAGTGCAATCAGACATAATCGACTATATAGAGGAGAAGAGACTATCCTGGTACGGCCACGTCAGAAGAGCGGACAGAGGACGCTGGATAAACAAAATCACAGAATGGAGCCCGATCGGAAGAAGAAAGAGAGGAAGACCCCGAAGGTCATTCAGAGACGAAATCGACGAGGCTATGGAGAAAAGAACCCTGCGAGATGGAGACTGGAATGACAGGGAAAATTGGAGAAAACGGTTGAGTGAAGGAAGACAGTGAAAACTGTGGAAATCCTTAGTAGTAGTAGTATGTTAAAAGCATTAAATTTTAAGTTAGGTCCAAACCGAGGGTTCACTCTTTCACATACAATTTTTTTGACAATCAAAAACGGACACCTACCATCACATTTGGATCAAACATGGACATTTACCCATTTTTGTTCCAAAAGCGGACATCTGTATTTTCAAATAATAATTTTATAATAATTTCATATATTTCTGATATCAGAATGTCCACAAGATTACTTTTGAAGTCTTCACTTAAATTATATGAAGTGAGATTTTTATAAAAATATAATAGCAGCTGTGTACAAAAAAAAACCAATTTATTTCAATTTTTCTTGCATGACAAATGTCCGTCTTTGACATAAAGCTACTCATTTATCAACGAAGTCTCCTTTTGGTATCATGTAAGGATTACAATGCTTCTTTAATGTTGTAATCTCTTTTTTGTAGATAGATGGTCTTTGGCCTTGGATGGTCGTTGAAGGTTAGACCGCAATAATAACTAAAGATTGAAGCAATTCATGTAGATTTATCATTCCTGTCATGTTTTCGTAGCCTTTTTTTAATGACTTACATCTTTTGTGTCTTTATCACATCAGTTTTTTGCATTTATTGGCGTTTTTTTTGCAATTGCCTCTTTTACACATCAATAACTGTTTATCAGATTCGTAGTAAATGGTGCTTTTTTTCTGAAGGAAATTTCTCAATTATGTGCGTTCTAATATATAGAAACTAAAACTTTTCCATCTGAAATTGCATCTTTGATCGCTTTGGAATGCTTTCACCAGCTACCATCCACCCAGTTGAGTTCCGATTTGACTTTGAGTAAAATGGTAGATCCCCATTTGATGCATCGTTACATATTCATAATGCCTTCTGATATATTTAACTCCTTTAATATATCCCGCAATTTTATTTAAGATTTACCAAATTTATATTTTCTGCAAAAACTATCAAATTTAGGAAATAAAGTGTTCAGAATAATTTTTATGACGATATTTAAAGCCATAATGCGTTCTATTAATGATTGTTTCAGACGGAAAAAGTCTGAATAAATTTATTAAGGCAATGATTTTCTTGAACAGCTTACTCCTAGTAATCTAAAAATCAACAAGAAATAAACAATAGAGCCTATTGATTTCCTGATTGATGGAAAAAATACGAAATTCGAATGAACCATTGCTTTGAAACTTTCAATACAAGGGTCATCTAGTGGTAGTCATAATTACGTCAAAGAGCAACCAAAAACTTACCTAAACTTAATCCAAAAATCCTAAATATAACACCAAACACACGAAAACTTATGCGGATATAACTAGCTAATATAAAAATCACCAGAAACTAATAAAACCAGCATTTAACTGTTAATATACCCCGTTAACTTATCCAATGATAATAAATTCTAATTGGACGGAAAAATTTGTATTTATATAACATCTCACCATTGACAACTTTCACAGCTTTCTGAATCTGAATACTACCTCTCCTGAGGGTGGATAAGCCTGGTGGCATCTCTATACAAGCAGAATTCATAAATAACAATGTTTTACACTTTTTTAACTACCAAACTCTTTTATAATTCCAAAATAACAATATGGGTACTTGAATGTTTTAGGAGGTTCGTAATGGTGATGAACCTTATTAAAGTCTCAATTGGATAATAACGCTCACTGCTAGATGCTAAAAAGAAACAGCGCGTCAAGAAGCAGAGACTTTTCGTTCAGAATATTGTGGTTTAATATACAGGGTATAATCTGTTAGTGCAAAATAGACAATGTTATTGGTTGCAGATACTTTATAACAATTATTTGTTAAAAATGTATCTCTGCAATAGTTCTTTTGTTGTTGTGAACATAGATATTTTAGCCTTTTTGTTTTTGTTTTCCAAGTCATTTTCAGACTTTTTCTAATTGTCCATTTATTGTCCATAATACCAGGAAGTTGTAATTTCGCGTTTATTGTAGATTTTTTCGGTTACGTTTATTACTCCAGTAGTCAGAGACGAAAATGCCAATGAACCTCTAAAAATCATACGAACCAGCTGAATTTTGGCGAAAATGTCGATTTTATGACGCTTAAAAAGATGCAAAAAAAAGTTTACCACTTTTACTCTCGGACTTTCCGCTAAAACCACCCACGTAGAGGGGAAACAGGAAAAAATCGATTGACCAAGAATCTGTACGCCATAGAAAAAAATGTAGCTTTGATAATTTTAAACAAAAACGTTTATAAGCATTTTTTGTGTAGAATGAACCATTCTCTGAGAAATAAAGATCGAAGCAATCGGAGATTTTGAATGTCAGTTAGTCGTTCGAAATCAATGATTAATAAAATTTGTATCAGCTCGACGATAAAAATTCAATATCTTTTGATCCAAGGGTGCTTTTAAAAAGACAAGGAGTGCCAAGAAGCAACAGATAACAAAAACAGGGCATACCTAAAGACAAATCAAGCTGGATGCACAAGAAGAGCAAAGGAAGAATACCGGACACTAAGAAGAGAAGAAAAACGATTACATAGAAGGAAAAAAAGACAATTTGAGCAAAAGCAATTGGAAAGCACAGAATTTCTAAGAAATCAAAATGAAACTCGAAAGTTCTACAGACATCTAAATAAAATGCGCAAAGAGTTTAAGCCAAGAATAAGGAGCTGTAAGGATGTAAAAGGAAACATCCTAAATGATACGGCCTCAATACTAAACAGATGGGTTGAATTTTTCGATGCAAAATTTAATGGCCATCATATCGAAGAAGCAGATAACACCCTAGCAAATCGAAATGATTGGAATCCTTTCAACCCAAACGAAAGACCACCTACCATCGAAAACGTTGCCCAAGCCATTAAAAAGCTTAAAAATAATAAATCACCAGGAGTTGATCAAATTTGCAGTGAGCTCTACAAGAATGGTGGCGATGCCCTACTACAGACACTGCATAAGCTTTTACTTCTTGTTTGGCATAATGAGACCATGCCTTGTGAATGGTCTCAAGGCGTGATATGCCCGTTACATAAAAAAGGTGACCAGCTCCAGTGTGAAAACTATAGAGGTATAACCCTGTTAACAACTGCTTACAAAATACTAGCAAATATTATCTACGAAAGGTTGCAAGTTTACACAGTGGGCATAGTTGGTAAATATCAAGTTGGATTCACTCCAGAAAAATCAACAATTGACCAGATTCATTCAATAAGACAGATTCTCGAGAAAATATTAGAATTCAATATTGAAACCCATCACCTATTCGTCGACTTCAAGGCAGCATACGACAGTGTCAAGAGAACAGTGCTATACCAATCAATGCATGAGTTTGGTATACCAGAGAAACTTATCCGACTAACGAGAATGACAATGTCTAACTTAGAAGCCACTGTTAGAATACAGGGACAGAGTTCTAGATCCTTTGAGATAAAGGATGGACTCAGACAAGGAGATGCTCTGGCTTGCCTCCTATTTAATATTGCCTTGGAAAAGGCAGTCCGAGATACACGAATTACGGACGGCGGTACTATTTACAATAGATCGATACAAGTCTTAGCATATGCTGATGACATTGACATAATAGAGCGTAGCAAGCGAGATGTTGAGCAATATCTCCTAGAATTGGAAACAGCGGCGAAACAGGTCGGTCTAGTCATCAACGAAGACAAAACTAAGTACATGTTGGTTACAAAGGATCCGATAGCAAATGAGGAACGAGAAACAGTCTTTGGAAGTCATACCTTTGAACGTGTTGACAACTTCACATACCTTGGGTCGCTATTGACTGCTACCAATAAAACAAGCGAAGAAATCAAAAGACGAATAAATCTTACAAATAGGGCATACTATGGACTCCAAAAGCATTTCCACTCAAGAAACATTCAAAGAAGAACTAAAATTATTATATACAAAACATTGCTGAGGCCGGTCCTCACATAAGGAGCAGAAACATGGACATTAACGCAGAAAGATGAAAGACTTTTGGGAATATTTGAGCGTAAAATACTCTGCAAAATATTTGGAGCTATAAACGACCAAGGGCAGTGGCGCAGAAGATATAATTTTGAATTGTATCAGCTCTTTGATGAGCCAGATGTCATAACGTTCATTAAAACACAGCGACTTAGATGGGCTGGACACATAATACGAATGCCAGAAAATACCATTGCTAAAAAGCTAACCATAGAAACACCTGTGGGAAAAAGAAGCAAAGGCCGACCGCGAATTAGGTGGTTAGATGGAGTAGAAACCGACTTACGAATATTAAAAATCAGAAGATGGCAACATGTTGCCAAAAACCGAACAGAATGGCGACGAATCTTAGAGCAGGCCAAGATCCACAGAGGATTGTCGAGCCAAAGATGATCATGATGTGCTTTAAAAAAAATTAGGATGCGTTTTAAAGGTAAAGAGTGCAGCTTTCGTACAGTTTTTATATTTTGCCGCAAATGAACTCAGTTTTTATAAAGGTGTTAAATAAATACACGTGGCGCGATTTTTACCATTTTTTATGATTGTCATGAAATCATTACAATGTATCCCTTGCATCGACCCTCATATATCCCTTTTATTGACCGGCCACTACGTAGATTTCATAACTAGAACCTAATCTTTAAAACCTATAGCATGCAATGTTAGTTTTAAGTTTTGGCAACAAATGTAAGACATTTGAAATATGCTTAAAAAACACTGGGTTTAAACTTTCACATTAAAACGATCTAAAACGTTTAAAACTGCTCTTTTTTAATTACACTAGTACGTTTTTCAAAAGTACTTAACTTCTGCTATAAAGTTCACCCGAAACCTTCTTCTTAAATGCATTTTCCGTGACGTGCGATTAATTGTAATTGAAAAGTTTATATTCTGTGCTTTTACCCATATTTCAAATGCCTCATATTTGTTGCTAAATATCAAAATCAAATTTTTATGTAATAGGTTTTAAAGACTGCAGTCTTTTTTTATGTAAGGGATACTTATGCTCAACGTATAGCCTCTCCTATCAAAATTTCAACCTC